TGGTGAAGGGGACCATGTTTTCGTCTGTCAAGCCGATAGTGATGCCGCGCCGGTCGATCTGGTACCCCCTGTAGAAAGTCGGCCATGTCGCAGCTCTGCCACCTATAGTGCTGACTTTCAGTGCGGGGTTCCTGTCTGGAAAAGCTTGCGGCTGGTCTGGACCACGGCGTCCGAATCCTATCCCGAGGATTCCGTGGAAGTCTCTGAGGTCTGAGGAGGGTGATTCCGGGCAGGTGTATAGGTCCCCGTGAATTTGCAAGTCGCTGCACTCTTTTGTTCTCTCCGTTACGGCGAGGATCTTGACGGTGGATTTCACGATGGGCATATCATTGCTCGGGTTGAAGAAGACGTCCTTTTCGATCCACCAGCCGCCGTAGAGGGTTTTGCTGCTGGTGAGATTTTGCCAACCTCTTTCTGCGCTGGTGCTGGTGGGGACGGTGAACCCGGGCATGTTGGCTGCGGGGAGAACGATGCCAGTGGTGCCGGTATCTACGAATGGGCGGTAGACTTTTGTATTGATACGGGTCCCCGGGGGACCAGTGCTGAGTTGGATGGGGACGTGATATCTGCTGGTGAATGGGGTGGTCATGGATTCGGCCTCGGCGAAAGGGACGAGGGCTTTAACCGTGGAGCCCGCATAGGGACCCGCGCGTGCAAGGCGGAACAGGTATAGGGAGGTAGTGATAAGAATTGATAGAATTGGAGACATATTGAAGATTTTGAATGGCGAGAAAATTGGCATAGTGCGAATGATTAAAGTGGCGATTGTATAGAACTTATAAGCTCTGCCCCCTTGGAAGGAAATTATCTGCAACGTACATGACAAGCGAGTGGACAATTTTCCTCATCCAGTGGTCCTTAATCCTCTGGTATCTTAAACATCTGTGTACTAGCTACTCGAGACTGGAGAGCCGTGCCCCCCCTCCAACCGTGTATAATACCGATCATCAGCGCGTAGCTCTTGGATCCCAGTTGACTTTTTACTTGTATACTTCTCCTAGGACGGCAGGGCTATTTGCTCTCATGGTATTCTAGTGTGGCTCGTATCTGCAGGCTCCCTGAAACCACCATTAAGCCAACGTAACATCGTATTTAATATGCAGAATAAATATGAAATCTAAGCCAATGGTATATATTAAGCTATTTGTAATAAAATTAGGTGGCTTTTAATCTTATCTAATCTGATTTATATTGCGTCTAAGTGACGTCTCACTAACCTTGTACCTCTAGACCTAGTTCTGCAACATTGTTCTCTGTGGGTTATGTTTTGGGACACCCTCCTTTTGCCGGTCCAGGAAACGATCTGGTCCAAAAGTAAGACGTCGTTCTATAATGTGGGTGTCTCATATCAGCGGTCTGTACGTGGTCAAGAATGCGGGTCGCCGGCCCACCCTCATCATCGGCGCCCTGTGGATGATGATGTGTTTCCTGTGAGTGTGTCCCATCTTTCGGACGTGCTTCGTTTATGCTAACGGCTTAGGGTCTACGCCTTCGTCGGCCACTTCTTCCTCGACAGCACCAACCCAATGAGTCGGGAGAGGGAAGGGTAGTATGGCTGGTACTATTATCAGGTTCCTCGGGTATTATTTAGAGTCGAAATAGTTATTATGGCCTCTATTATATTACTTTCCTTAACCCCATATCAATCTCTAGTTTTCTTAAAGCGAGTTGAGTACGTTCGTGGTTCGGGAGTGTCAGACGGAATGACCTAATGGAATATCCCGACGGAAATCTTCCAATAGATTGAGTAGACGAGACGTTCAATTGGGCTTGTTCTCTTCCCTGTGTCAGATCTCGTGACTCCGTAAGTGGGGTCTGACGATCTAAGTTGGGTGCCTTTGGCACGGGGAAATGTACGATCAAATGATGCCAAAATAGGCTGCTTGAATTGATGATAGATACGACCTTAATGACGTCGTGATGACTGATTGATTGACTATGGTGTTGATGATCTTGACCGGCGAGGGATTTCCCTCATCTACGGTCTCCAAGACCCCCGCTTCCTTAGCCATCCGGCCGGACACGGATCCCTCCGTCTGACACCCTGCCGCATCACGTGCAGTGGTCCGCGTCGCAGGTCCAGCTGCGCTGGGTCAGGACAGAAAATTCTGGGGATTTTGCATCTTTCCAAGAGGCTATTGAACCCTGCGCGTTGCGCTCTGCGTTACCACTCTTTGACGAATGCTGGAGGTCTAGGCCTGACCCGGAGTAAAACATGCGATTGCTAACCCCGCACCGCCTTCTACTCTTGGCGGTAGCATTCTCACCCCGAATTTGGGTAGCTGAGGCAAGGGGTCGAGGTGGGAGCGGCGGTTCCAATGGGGACAGCGGTGACTCGGAGGGAGATGACGGTTTGGGTTCTGGTGAAGGGAGCACCCCTTGTATCGACAGCGGCCTACCGACAATCACGGATCTCGATGTCACCCGATTTGACAACTACAGCTCAGACCCGAACTACGGCGGCGCATATTTCTTCGGCGAGGCGTCAATCAAGACCCGAATCGAACAGGGGGACAAGGACACTTGTACTCCCACCATTGGGGTCACGCTCCCAAATAGGCTGCTGGCAGCCGCCTTCATCGCGCCTCAATCGCCGCAGCCTGTGGGGCCTAAGAATGATATTGTGATCGGTTTCAAAGGCTGGGTTACAGACAAGTCGCTGGAAGACTTCATGACTTCGTATAATAACTGCAAAGTCAGCGCCGACACGATCTTCTTCAGGACCACTTCATGGTTCTCGTACACATATCCAAACAACGAGATGCACGGAGCTCGCGATTCAGTGCCTTTGACGCTGTCCGCTGGCGATGGTTCAACTGTCTTCAAAGGAAAATACAGTGGAGGGCCGCAGACAACATGGAGCAATATATCGCTCGCACAATGGACTGAGGATGACATCTCGTTTTCCGACGATCTTTGCAACGGATACATGGGCCTTGATGAATCCATTCCAGTTGGGACGGTCATAAACGGCTCTGTTAGCTCCGAGACGCTCTCTCTTACTGTTACCGGAGTCGTGAACAGCGTGATCTCCGGCGTCAACGTGAGTTTCACTGTAGATTTCAAGGGGGCATTTTCATCGACCAACTCAACCCAAGCTGTCAAGATTGGGGAAAACGGCAAGTCAGATGTATCGTTTGCTGTGATCAACAGTGATGGAAGCAATGATAGCCAAGGAAGACTGAGCGCGTTTCTACCGATGACGGTTTCGTTTCTTATTATCGCAGTAGGCCTTGGATGTGAATATCTTTGAGGAAAACAGTTCTTCATATATAGTACCTTCAATGTATATCGGCTCTGCTTGAGATCTTGTCAGATTTGAAATTTTACGCCGTGCACCGGCTGCACGTGGTCATAGAGAACGGCCTTCGAGAGCGCCATATCTATCTTAAGAGACCGTCATTCTTCACTCGCCCAAGATGGATGGATTCAAGGGCTCCCCAACTTCAAGATTGTCCACAGGACAACTCACCCGCTACGCTGGCTCGAGAGCCTATACTTCAGCACACTAGGCATTGGTGGAATGTGTACAAAGGCTGGATCTCGTCAAGGTATTGCCAGGCCACGCCATTTCTACATATACAAGTACGCTAGCTGAATTTTAGACGCAATCGATCCTAGTAACGGCATCGCCTCCAGCCCCAATTTCAGTCCCAGGAGTATCGGATCCTTCTCCCCAAGGACCTCCTGCTGCAGCTCCAATACCTTCATGTGGATCTCCTCGGCCTTATTATATTGTGGCGGGGGGTTCCCGTTAAAATTGGCGTTGGAAGGTTCCGCCCGAGATATTGGTGCCGTTGTAACCTGAGTCGGGCGGTGGAATGGCGCTCTGCACACCTGGGCCAATGGGGCTATGCTGCTGTTAGGCGACTGTCTTGGGCGCATGTGGCGGAGCTGGTCTGAGAACGCGATCGGCCAGGGATCTGGTGTCGTGAACATTGTCCCGCTTGCTGCATTCGTGTCTCAGCCCGCGATCGCCGTAACTATGCAGGAGTAGGGCTGAGACGTAGGAGCCAATCGCCAAAGAGTTGGGGGCTTCCCTGGAATGTGGTGGAGGCGATGCATCGAGAAATTTTACAAGGGAAGCCGCAAATACTGGGCTATGGGAGCCAAGGATAGGACCCTGGGAACCCTCCCTTGGGAGATGTATAGGCCCAATCGATAGCCTTAGTAGTATCTCGATTATGGATGCAATACGATGTATTGAGTTGCACTCATTCTGCAGCGGGTTTTATCACGTCAATGTATGGACATTGTATTCGAGTAGGGAGGGGTCTGGAACCCTCAGCAAGACCTACATAGCGCGAAATCATCGACAGTCTTCACACAGAGACCGACGTCAGACTATTCAGAGTGCGATTGATAGGCTTAAACGAGGCAGAGTACAACATGTTTGGGGACAGAATCGTTGCCAGTCTGAACTACGACAGCTGGCCCATACACCACGACTCGGTCCCACAGGCATATAAGGATACCTTCCAATGGGCCTTCGACTCACGGCTCTCGGACTGGTTCCGCTCCGAGAGTGGTACTTTCTGGGTATCAGGCAAGCCGGGGTCCGGGAAATCCACCTTCATGAAATTCATCGCGAGGCATCCCCGGACAAAGGATCTACGAGCAGGCTGGGCAGGCTCGGCAGATACGCTTGCCGTTGCGGCGCACTTCTTCTGGATAGCGGGCACGCTGATCCAAAAGTCATGGCAGGGGCTGCTCCAATCTTTGCTCTTCGACGTGTTTCACAAACGCCCCTCCGTCGTGTCGCTGATCAGCCCTGATCGCTGGGCGGCCGCCAAGGCCGGACACTGGCAGGCTGCCGCCCAACCCTGGTCTGTAACTGAGCTCGCGGTGGCGCTTCGAGCGCTGGCATCATCTGACAGTCTGCCGCTGAAGATGTGTTTCTTCATCGATGGACTCGACGAGTACGACAGCGACCATGCCGAGCTTTGTAATGTTCTACGTGACATGGCTAGCTCTCATCATATCAAGATGTGTGTTTCTAGTCGGTATCTTTAGCTAAGATTTTGGCCTACGCCCATGCTGATGGGTCTGATGACGCTGTAAAAGATCGTATCTTGCAAAGTCCTTATCCATACATTCATTACATTTGTATCGCTCCCTGTGCTCCATTGGTACGTGTGTTTCCAAATGCCTGGTAAGATCTCTCTCCAAAGCCATATGTCCGCAAAGCCTACAGGGGAGAAGCTGGCCGGCAGCTCCCGTTTTGTGACTTGCTTCATCAGCCAAAGGCCGACAACTTGCTTTCCGAGGCATTCACTTACTCTATATTGGAAATTGTTGCTCCAGTTTGCTCGTAGTCTCTGAAACGTGAGCCTATTCGTGCGTCCACCGCCTCACTTGTTTCAAGAGTGACTGTTGTAGGTGCGAGATAGTTTGAAATTTCTTCATTACCCCCCATTACCGCAGATTCTGTGCACACGTAGGAAATCTGGGGTTCTGAGAAGAAAGTCTCGTAGTTTGATGCCTGAGAAGATGATGATGTTATCGGTTCCAGCTCGCTGTGGTAATCCGGCAAGGGCTGATGGCTCTAATGAGCCATTAAATCTCCCAAAGGATCATTTGCCGAAGCTGATAGATATTCGGCATTACCTGAGTTTATCCACGTGTCTGTTTCTAGAGAGGTGAGTGCGTAGCTCTCGAAAAGAAAAGTGTCGGGTATATGAAAATCGCTGCTGGTGCCTTGTGTAGTACGAAGCTGATTAGGTAGACATCCTTCAACATTAAGTGTCTGTAATTCGTTGTGAACTATGTTGACGTTCGCAAGCGCAGCATCCGAGTCGAAGTAGATTGGAACACCGCATGTCTCTTCAATTCCTGCCTGCAAGCGCATTGCTAAGGGTGGCGGTGGCTCTTGTTGCTGTTCGGGCATGAAAGGATCAATAAGAGATAAAGGGAAAATATTGTGTCAGAGATTCCTACAGACCCCCAATATCATCCACTCAAGTACTCACTGTCACTAAAGAAGATAGTGTGTTCTTCTGAAGTAAAAGGATGCGTAGGAGCCCCGGAGGAGCGATCCCTTTTCTTTGCGGCATCCGACTGAGATTGCATGAATGAACAAATAAAACCTCTAACAGGACGTGGAGAGTCCTAGAAATCCAGGAGAGTGTTGGTACGTCTAGTCCTGTTAACCTTGGACGACGTCTCTACTTATAGCAGACGTATAGAGCATACGGTAGTCCATCCTCTAATTTGCCGAATCTGTGTCATCTCCGAAGGTGCGAGAACAATCTGATCCGGGGTCGTGAGCTGTGACTCATCTTTGTGTAATGGAAGTAGTTGTAAAGTGTAATAATTGCGCATGCTATGCAATCGACTTTGATTCGTCGATACAAAGTGTATCTGCACATGTATGTATGCGGCCAGCTAATGCGGGAGGCCAAGGTATGTTTGCGGCCAGCTAATGCGGGCGGCCAAGGTATGTCTGCGGCCAGCTAGTTCCACCTCGGCTGGTTCATTCTCTTATCAGTCGGGTCTACTTTTAACATGGAATGTTCTCATTGGCAGATTTCTCTCAATGCCACCAAGTTGAAAATACATTTCGTCTAGTAGTGATAAAGTCGCAACGGCATTACACCTCACACGGCGATAAAGTAATCACACCGAAACACTCGTATACACAGTCACGTCAGGTTTCTAGCACATGCATCCACCACAACCAAGCTCTAAGCTGCACTAGTGATATCATTATGTTATATACTTCTCAGTGTTCTTTCGCATCCATCCAATCATTATGACCAAGACGGATCATTCATGCTGTTGGTCCAAGATATGACTCTTACTTGTTTGGAGATCTAAGACTGGTCGGGCGCTGCCAACAAAGCACGGGCTGACCAACCATTATAGGTACGGTGCCATATGTACGCAAAAGGCGTCTTGCATGATGTAGGCTTTGCCACGTACAATGTGCTCTATGATGGGTATCAGCCAATATGAGCAAGGCATCAAGGACGCCTGACGAGGGATTAGGCTTCCAACTGATGCGAATGCAGTAGATGGTAAATGAAAGGATATCCTTCTCATGATTAAGTAACATATAAAAACCTACTGATCATAATGAACAATAGTAAGCTCTAGGACTAAGGTTTTGAGGTTTAGATAATGACCTGACTATGATGATGATATTAATCTCTATAACAGGCTCAAACCCCACTGAACACTCCAGCCATGTCTGAAATGTCCGCAGCGAATATACTACTTCAGACGGGAAGTACGCCACAAACATACCTAGCCAGTCGTTTTGTTTTTTCTTCCAACATAACGAAGTCATAAATGGGACACTCATCACCATCTCGGCATATGGCACAAGCCCTGATAAGGAAGGCGTTTTCTGGTCTCTGCCTCTATCTCACCTACGTTACTATTCTCCTCCAGTGGTGACAGAGCGTCGCATTGCATCGGATACTTCTCGGGTTTCCATAAGTAAGCTCTGGATAGTTATTTTGGGGGTCATCACTTCACAGTGGAACTAAAGCTCCACTCCAAAAGTCTGTCAAAAGCGCAATCTGCCGCCCTTCTTGCATGACCACCCACGTAATAAAAATTCATATTTCTCAACGCACAATGCAGCAAAATGGAAAGTATCTATATTTTTGGAATCACCAGAAGCTAGGGATCAATATCTAGTATACCAAACTCTTGCCCGGCAGCACGCTTCCACCCGACGGGGCACAGACTCTATCAACGCCCGAATGAAGTCCTGATCTATTGCTACCCACACTTTATGCAAGCATTCCTTGAATTCTTCGATATTCGCCTTATTTCTGCGTAATCCTGAGAGATGAGGGAACATTTTATAAACCTTCCTTTTCAATGCGTTCCAAACATGCTCAATTGGATTAAGATCCGGCGAGTGGCTGGGCCATTCTAGCAGCGAAATCGCGTTCTGGAGCAGGAATGCTTCTGTGACCGCAGAACGATGGATTGCAGCATTATCTTGCTGAAAATGACGTGTGCCATCGTAGACAGGAAGCAGACCTTCTGTTAGAGCCTGCATATAGCTAGTAGAAGTGAATCCTTTCTTCTTGGCGAGTTCATCTCTGGTCATGATCACTAGCCAGCTCTTCCCATTAGACCAAATCGCCGCCCACACCATTATCCGGATAGTGTGAGTGAATCGCCAGACCCATTCATAGGGATTTGAAGCTGAATTCTGGATTGTACACTCATCTGAAAAGATGACCTGGGATCATGGTTAGAGCGCAGACACACATCTGATCTTCCGTGTAAGTTACCGTGACCAATTCGTCTTCTCTACCTTTCCACTCTAGTATCCATACAAGCCATTCTTTTGCTGTTTCTTCTAATATAAAAACCCGCTTCCTTGCTTTCCATTTGCGTAAGTTGTACTCATGCAAAGCGCGGCGCAGTGTCGTGCTGCTTACTGGCAGACCCAGCTCATTGACGAGTTCCTTCCGAGTTAGATCTGGATCTTGACGGACCTTGCGCACAAGTGCACGTATATCCCGAGGCGAGAGACTCTTAGGCCGTCCAGAGCGAGGTTTGGATTGGAGTGAATCGGTCTCCTCGAAGCGTTGAAGAATGCGTGTCATAGCAGCTGGAGAGACGCCAAAATCGCGTGCGACAGCGCTTCGCTTTGCACGTGCGAGGATAGTAGCAATAATGTCCGCACGAGTATTAGGATTGATTTCCTGGTTAGGTTGACGATTTCCGCTTATAACGGTACCAAAAGATCGCAAATTGGATGACATTCTGTAAAGTTGTGGAGAGATGAAGGAAGAAGGGGTGTCGCGATGCATTTGGAAAAGTGACGCGGGTCGCGACGCGGGTGCGTTTTTTGACAGACTTTTGGAACCCCACTTTACACCTGCCCGGATACGGAGAAGTGCTTCCGGCTGATCATCCTCCTCTCCAACCTCGTCAACCAATCATCTATGCACATTGCATGGCTGAAGTTTCTCGCAGGTGCCGCCAAAAGATACACCAGTACCAATGATGTGGATCATTCACATGTGAAGCTACTCAGACTCGGAATGCGATGGGGCCGGTCGTGTCTGAACGAACCTGGAAGAGAGACCCGCACCCATTTTTTGGCCTGAGCCACTTCCCCGTGCTCATGAGCATGATATCTGAGATTGAAGAGAAGATCGCAATCATGCGCAACATTGCTAGAACCCCCCAAGCTTCAGACTAAGACTTGCTTATCAGATACTCGGAACCGAACGCTGCTAGGGTGATTGCTGCTTCTGTCGCGTACCACTTAGCCTCGGCACTTCCTTCCTCTCCGACTTCAGTACGAACATCTCGAGGTGATGGCGAGCCAGCAGAAAAGCGACAATGTCACACTGCAGGGATGAGACACTGTCGTTGGGTAGTCAGCAAATTCGGCGAGCCTGATGTGAGTTGTGACGGACATGCTTGCAGCTGTGTTTCGCCACATGGCCCTGAGTGTATCTGCGACAAATTGGGCGGCGGATGCACTATTTCTTGTCACCGTGATTTGAGTGGCGTGTGGCAATGCAATTCTGCGAGCAATTTCCTAAATTGGGAGTGCAAAAACGGCTGCACAGGTGAAGGGCAATGCACGACATGCTATCTTCGCTCCCAGGTATCACGAGTCGAAAAGTCTGGTGAACAGTGTCATGAAGAGCGGCCCAATGTTTACTACCTGAGGAAGACTTAGATTGAAGAAGGTTTGATTGATGCTTAAAAATAAAGCGTTGAGGTCACGAAACGCGTTTAAACTGCAATGCCACGAAACGTGGGGTCCGAGCGGTAAGCTAGCGCCTGTGGGCAGCGTGTCTCATTCCTTCACAAGACAACACAAGGCAAGTGCCTTGCTTCTCGGGCTCGTTCCGAAAGGCATTGGCGGACCCCGTAGGGGACCGGTCTCCTGTGCAATCATCAAAACACTCCGTGGTCCGTGCACTCATCAGCCACAACCAAGATGCCCGCGACATCTCAAACAACTGTAGACCTTCATCAAACCCACAAACTGAAAGACTCGTTCCGAAGGTTTGATGGCGGGCCCGTAG